GAGTTATCCGGCCCCCAAACCATCTGAAGGCAACCCTATATAGGGAAGTTGTTTTTTTAAAAAAATGTTTAATGTTATATTATGCTTTTATATATGTTGGAAGCTTCCCAAAGTGGCTGGGGCAACCCAGTAAGATGTGTGGGGTTAAAATAGTAAAATTATCATTACGGAATGGGACATCCCTATTTTCATTGGAGAAATGTTGGAGGGTATGCAAAGAGCCTGTGAGATCCTAGCCTCATCTTAATTTTGTTCCGAAAGTTGGATGTTCATTTATTCATATAAATTATCGCCTGCAGATTTTATGCAAGGTTGTGTTATGGGCTCACAGATTGCATTCAACCTACACAGAGTAGGCCTGTTGCAATTATTCGCCATGATGAGCTCGGGTTCATTTCCATTGGTCTGCTGTTTGTAGGTCTAATGCTGGATGCAACTCTGTATCCTGAGTAGGGATGATGGAGAGATTCAAATCAATTATCCTCTAAAGGCAAAGCCATCTAAAGGCACAGCCTACCTTCAAAATTTGTACTTACCTGAATTTTGCAATGTGCAACTAAACTTTATCGAACTGTGTATATTGGGGAAAATGTGCATAAAAATAAATGTGTTGTTGAAATTAACATACAAAGATGCATTATATTAGGAAATGTTGTTTGCAAAAACATGTATGGTAAGCACAACTGAGCACAAAAATATGCTTATCAGGAGAATTTCCCCCCAATTTTTTTTAATGCAAATTGTGGTAGAAATTTAGAGAACTGAATCAGTGTCTGGAAAAATGGGGAACTGAGAATGACATTGACAGGTTCTTCTACCCCTAATCTCGAATCTTTTAAGTATTTAGCAATATCCTGCATTAGGCTTTTAATGGTTAACTTAACTTGAATGGAGCTATCAAACTAATTGGTTAGGAGGTAAGTTGGTTTTGTAAATTCATTAGCAGCTAAAGGCTAGTAACAATTGTCTTCTTCCCTCCCTGCTCCCCAATCATCCTTGCAACAAGTCACAGAGGCCAGGTGTAAGCATTGCAATAAGTAAATAAATTCAGGGTTTCCATGAAAATGTGGGGTTTTTTTCAGAGTTTGATGGTTATGTGCCATGTGCATACATGAGAGAGCAGGGGACAGCAACAAATGACTGGGAAGGTGTGTCATTAAGAATGTATTGCTTGTTAAAAGGAAGAGGAAAACAGTTGCACTCTTCCGCACGCCGTCCTTGAAGAGCACACAATGGTGCAGAACGTCACTCTGTGCGTTTCAAAGCTCAACTGGCATGTTTTATCTCGGCACTGGGAAAAGCCAATGGGCACATGGCTGTTTAACTTGAAACTTTGATAAAATATAAAGGATTCTATAATCATATAATTAGGAAACCATTAATGAGGGTTTGGGAGAGAGATAAAGACTTAACAGAACAAAAGACACATTGGAGGCTCTCACCAATTGAAGCCTTGTTGCCCAAGCCACTTGGCAAGAAAGGGGAGTCGCTTACGTACAGTGATTTACTAAAAGATCGAGAAGGAAAATGGAAACTAAAAGAGTACGATGAAACAAAAGACAAATTTTAGAGTTGGTTACATTATAGGCAATTACATGAGACGTATAAAGAAGACCATAAGAAAGGATTTAGTTACACCACTTCTAGATTTCAAAAAGGAAGTCATAGAAAGGAAAGTGAAGTTGCTGAAAGGCGCATATAGTATTCTGCTAGAATGGGAAACAAAAGATGAAGAGGTGAAATCGGTCATGATCAAATGGACAAAAGATATATGACATAACATACAATTTGGAGATTGGGAAAAATTGTGGAAAACAGATTTAAAATTTACAGATTGTTCTCTTTTGAAATAAAACTACACGAAAATGATGTATAGGTGGTATATAACACCAGTACAGATAGAAAAAATGTATAAAACCAGGTCAAACATATGTTGGAAATGTAAAGAAAAGGAAGGAACCTTTTACCATATGTGGTGGGAATGCAGAGAAATTTTTTAAAAATTGGGAAATTATATATAATGAGTTGAAGAAAATGTTTAAAATGACATTCGTAAAAAAACCAGAAGCATTTTTGTCAGGGATTGTAGGGCAAGACATGCCAAGGAAAATAAAGAACTTATTTAGGTAAGTTATGCTACAACAGCGGCAAGAGTCTTGATAGCACAAGGATGGACGAATGAGGAAACCCCGTCAAAAGAACAGTGGTGAGAGAAATGGATGAACTATGCAGAACTGGCGAAACTGACATACAAACTGCGAGACAAGGACAACTGTGAATTCAAAGAAGAATGGGAACTTTTTACAAATTATTTAAAAAGACAACAAAATGAACTGGACTCCTTGGCACGTTTTGAATAAAAGGTAAAGGTAAAGGTACCCCTGCCGGTACGGGCCAGTCTTGCCAGACTCTAGGGTTGTGCGCTCATCTCACTCTATAGGCCGGGAGCCAGTGCTGTCCGCAGACACTTCCGGGTCACGTGGCCAGCGTGACATCGCTGCTCTGGCGAGCCAGCGCAGCACACGGAACACCGTTTACCTTCCCGCTAGTAAGCGGTCCCTATTTATCTACTTGCACCCGGGGGTGCTTTCGAACTGCTAGGTTGGCAGGCGCTGGGACCGAACGACAGGAGCGCACCCCGCCGCAGGGATTCAAACCACCGACCTTTCGATCTGCAAGTCCTAGGTGCTGAGGCTTTAACCCACAGCGCCACCTGCGTCCCTACACGTTTTGAATAAACACACACAAATTTATTGAGGGTTAATATAGTAGACAGATAATACAATTTTACAATATGAAGAGAATAATACGAGTTTAGAAATCAGAAAGAGGAGCTGAGGGAAGTCTCGGGGGGAGGGTTTGTTGGGAAGGTGGGAGGAAAAAAAAGGGGGGGAATAATGAAGATGATTTGTTTTGATAATTTGTTATGTTGAAATTGTTAATATATTTTTTAAAAATAAACTTTGATAAAATACTGCAGGCAGAAACCAGATTGATTCCACGTTTGCTGTTTAAAATATGTGGGTTGGTGGGTATGGTTAGTATCTTCAGGGGTACTGTTCATTTATTTATTTCATAGAATTTATACACTGCTTAATCGTAAAAAAACCCCCCAAACCCGCAAAGCTGTTTAACAATAAAACAATATTATCATAAATAAGAAGAATTAACGACAATAATTTAAGACATTCAAAAAGTTAAAATTAACAACAAGCTAAGATGTGCATCAATTTTCTGAACAATAGGTCAGCTTCCCTAAACAAAATATTTTTCACAGGCACCGAAAAGTGCATAGCTAAGGCACCTGTCCTGCTGTCAAGAGACAGTGAGTTCCAATGGGTGGGTGGTGCCACACTGAAATATTGAGTTCTTACAATTGCGGAACAAGTAGTACGTGGCACCTGCAATGGTGCCAGTTCTGCAGATCAAAGCATTTGAGTAGGCCCATATGGGGTAAGGCGATCTCGCATGTAAACTAGCCCCAAGTTGTTAAGAGCTTTCTATATCAATATCAATGCCTCTGGATATTTTTAGATCATGGGTAGGCAACCTAAGGCCCAGGGGCTAGATCCAGCCCAATCGCCTTCTAAATCTGGCCCATAGACGGTCCAGGAATCAGCATGTTTTTACATGAGTAGAATGTGTCCTTTTATTTCAAATGCATCTCTGAGTTATTTGTAGGGCATAGGAATTCATTCACCCCCCCCCCAATATATATAGTCCGGCCCCCCACAAGGTCTGAGGGACAGTGGACCGGCCCCCTGCTGAAGAAGTTTGCTGACCCCTGCTTTAGATAGTGTGTCCCAATGTCTGTGGTGTATTCCATCTGAATATTTGGCCCCATATCAAGAGAACCCGAAGCACTTTTCTCACAGGGAAGCTGGGGGCTCACATTGGAGAAACTTAAGTTCAGATCCCTAGTTAGTCCACAGATCTCACTGGGGTCTAAGGCAGTCCCTAACTCTCAAGTTAGCTTGCCTTTCAGGGTTGCTGTGAAGCTGCAGGGGACTGCCTGAGAGCTCCTTTGGAAGGAAAGTGGGAGGCAGACTACTGATCCTCAGAGGGCTTCTCTGAGCCCCTTCTCCAGAGAGGGTAGTCCAGGGACAAACGCATACAGTTTTCTCAAAGGGACCCTTGCTCCCTGAGAATAAAGTTCTGCAGCATCTGCAATAAAGAATTCACAGGTCTGTGGAGTGCAGAAGCTCACACCTGACATATAGGCTGCCGTTTACCCTTTTCTGTCTGCAATCATGCGCTGATAAGAGCCATTTTGCACCTCTTGGAGGTCATTAGCTGGTGAAAGGAGATGGCTTAAAAATAATAATAATAATAAATAAATGTTAAAAACTGAGAAATGAACATGCACCTCTCAAGCACTACACATGTATGCTCAGAGTCATGCTAAACTCAGTGGTGCCCACCCCCACAAGTAAGCGTGCCTAGGGACTGTAGCTGTGCTTATTTCGATGTCGCAAATGCATTTCCCTGGTGAAGAGTTCTGTTAAATCCCTGTTCTGCGCCACCTTAAATCTACTGGTTTGCTTCACCTAACCCTGTTGTTCCATTTCACCCTACATCGTTCCTGAGAAAACACACCCATGTCCTCAAATTCACTTCTCCCAGGAAACGCTGTCTTGTCAGAGGCTCACTGTTAACTTACTGCACACCGCTGGGGAACCTTCAGACGCACTTGAAAACAAAGAGAAGAGAGAAATAGAACCAACTTCTCTTTTGTGCCTGAGAAGCTTGGGTGGGGAGGAATGATGGAAAAGATCAAGCACAGCAAGGTCTGAGAGGAAATACGTGTGGATTTCACCCTGAGCAGATGGTCTGTGGGCTAAAAGGCAAAATGACATTTCAGTTTCTTTGGAGCGAAACTGGGAGGAAGCTATTTGCAGGATCACAATCAAATCCAAAACTTTTAAAATAAAAATAATTCTCACCACCACCACCACCACCGATGAACCAAAATCATTTTAGTAGCCGGAGTGTATACATACCGTTTGGCTGGACCTGACTTCTCTGAGCTGGAGAACAGCCTGTGTAGGGATGGGTGTGGAGTTGTAACCTGCCCAGTCTATATTCTGCTGAACTAGGCAGGACTTGCATAAAAGGAAACTGTCCCAGCACTTTCTGTCAAAATTAAGCCCTGTTTTGTTATTTCCAAGAGGGATTGTTCTAGATCTCACATCCTGAGCTATTTTGACAGAAACCCAGGGGATAGGGGAGAGAGAGTGAAGTTTTCGATGTCAAAACATGGGTAGTTGTGGAAGGGCAAGTTGCAGGCAAAGTGCGTCTTATGTTCTCTCTCTCTCTCTCTCTCTCTCTGCTGCTTCTGCTTGCCACGTTTCCTTGTTTTGCTTGCAAAAAGCTGGTGAATCACATTCTAATTGGTGCAATTGCGATGGTTGGGGGGGGAAACATAGTTTGAAGGCGGGGCCTTTTCCTTCCTGACCAAAAGTACTGTTTTGAATAGTGTGGCTTTGGCAATGCTATTTTTGTAGGAAGGAAAAGAAACAGAATGTGCGAGCATTTTGGAAGAGAAATGCAATCCGTTCGGTTTCCCTGTTTTCAAATTGTCCAGCCTTCTGGCCTTTTTCAGATGGGCGAGGCCTGCAGATTCCTAAGCGGAGTCTTGTTCCAGGGGAGGGCTGTGACCAGAGCTCAACCTTCAGGATGGGGGGGGGGGATAGCAATAGTGGGCGATTCTTAAGAGGCAGGCAGCCTTTTAAGACCAGGGCCTCTAGAGGCAGCTAGCAATAAAATCATTAAGAACAGAACAACGGGGCAAAGAGCAGGTTCTATCTCAGATCCTCCCAAGTGTCCTTGTTTTCCAGCGACAGTCTCAGATTAACAGAAGTCACCGCAAGTTTCTGATTTGATCCTGAAATTTCCTGCTTTTCCTTAGGACGTCCCTATTTTCATCAGATAAATGATGGCGGTTATGATACCTAACGGACTCTGCTCTCATCTGTGACTCCTAGAAGCTGCCAGCATGCAATAGCAGCCACACCCTGGGAAATGGGTTTGACTGGCTGGCTAAGCCAAGTGGGGATTGAACTGTGTGCAACGCAGGTGCTGTGCTGGACCTGCACCACTTTAAAGACCAACAAATTTATCGTGGTGTATTGTTTTTGTGGACTATTTTAGAAAAATGCAGCAGCGTCTTCGGAAGGATGAATGTATCTCAGCTTCTTATTTTCCTAGTCTTCAATTTGCCACATTTCCTAATCAGTTTATTTTTGTTTTTATTTATTTGTCATGAAAACAACTTGTTATTTTAGTGAGGATTTCTCCTCATACACACATTTCTGCAAGCAGTTCCTCCTAATCTAATGCATTTTAATATCCCACCCCCACCCCCACCACTAATGCACACCTTTTAATGGATGATGGCCCTGAATATGTGCCTTTTAGGGACACATATTTTGGTTTGAGAGCTTCATTCACAAAATTTGGAGAAGTGCAGAATTACAAAGAGTAGCCACATTCAGGTTTGTGGTTGCTCCAGGAGGTGTGAATTTGGCAGACTGCCATTAAAATGAGAACTGAACTGAATTTCCTCCCCATCCTTCTTCCCAAATAAGCTTCTGTAAAGCGTCAGGATGCCCCTTTAAGCAAATAATTCTGGGTGTTTGTTAAGGGTTCTGGGTGCTGTTAGTAGACCCCTACTTCCCTCACAGAGCTACAATTCCCAGAGTTTCTTGACAAGAGGGGTTGATCATCCCCCCCCCCAGTTGTTGGTCTTTATAGAGTTGGAAGGGCCACCTAGATCAACCTCCTGTATTGCAGGAATCTCAACACCCCTCCCCACCACACTTGAAACCAGACCCTGCTTAATTCTGCAAATGTGTGAGCAGTAAAACTGACGCACCACTCCTGTTTTGGGTAGTGTGCTCCTCAAATTCTTTCCCCACATACCTTATGTTCTGTTTGCATTTCTTTTTGCCAAAGTTCCTGCTCATTTCTCTTCTCCTCATGTGAGGAGCCAGCAGTGGTTTAGAGGTTAGAGCGCTGGCCTAGGACGTGGGAGAGAGCCAGGTTCAAATCCCCCCTTGGCTGTGAAGCTCACTGAGTGCGGCCTCTTGGCCAGTCACCATCTCTCAGCCTAACCTACCTCACAGGGTAATAATAATAATAATTTATTATTTATACCCCGCCCATCTGGCTGGGCTTCCCCAGCCACTCTGGGCGGCTTCCCAAAAAATATTAAAATACTGTAATACATCAAACATTAAAAGCTTCCCTAAACAGGGCTGCCTTCAGATGTCATCTAAAAGTCTGGTGGTTGTTGTTCTCTTTGACATCTGGTGGGAGGGCGTTCCACAGGGCGGGTGCCACTACCGTGAAGGCCCTCTGCCTGGTTCCCTGTAACTTGGCTTCTTGCAGCGAGGGAACTGTCAGAAGGCCCTCAGTGCTGGACCTCAGTGTCCGAGCAGAACGATGGGGGTGGAGACGCTCCTTCAGGTATACTGGACCGAGGCTGTTTAGGGCTTTAAAGGTCAGCACCAACACTTTGAATTGTGCTCGGAAACGTACTGGGAGCCAGTGTAGTTCTTTCAAGACTGGTGTTATATGGTCTCGGTGGTCGCTCCCAGTCACCAGTCTAGCTGGCACATTCTGGATTAGTTGTAGTTTCCAGGTCACCTTCAAAGGTAGCCCCACGTAGAGCGCATGGCAGTAGTCCAAGCGGGAGATAAGTAGAGCATGCACCACTCTGGCGAGACAGTCCGCAGGCAGATAGGGTCTCAGCCTGCGTACCAGGTGGAGCTGGTAAACAGCTGCCCTGGACACAGATTGTTGTGAGAATGAAATGGGGGGGGGGAGAAGTATGTACACCACCTTAAGCTTCTTGGGGGGGAAAGGTGGGCTATAAAATGTCATTAATGAAAATAAATAAATTTGGACAAGACTTCCATTTGCTGAAGCAGGGGTGGAGAGATTCACGCTTGGGGCCAGACGCTGTGCTCTAGACATCTCTATCTGCCCCACACCCTTCACTGGACCTGCTTTGCACCACAAATGTCTATCTAGCCCAGCAGTTCTCAAACTTTTTTCTCTGGGCAACACTTTCAGAATAAAAATTTGCTTGCTTCACACTATTTATTTTTAATGATAAGAAATACGTTGGGGAACAAAAAGAAATAACTCCTAGCAGTGCTTGATTTATAACACAGAACACAGATACTTTGCAATATGGGACACCCAAGAAGTATAAAACAATGCAGCTACATAAGAACACAAATCCTTCTAAAATAGAATTATAAACCAGCCTCTTATGTATACAAACTGAGTGAGAGGTGTTGAGCTTGCTTTCCCCAGCTAATCTCATTTGTATTAGGTCTATGCAGGCTGAGACCCTCCCTGCCCATGGACTGCCTTGCCAGAGTGGTGCATGCTCTGGTTATCTCCCTCTTGGACTACTGCCATGCGCTCTACGTGGGGCTACCTTTGAAGGTGACCTGGAAACTGCAATTAATCCAGAATGCGGCAGCTAGACTGGTGACTGGGAGCGGCCGCTGAGACCATATGAGAGATCTGCATTGGCTCCCAGTACATTTCCGAGCACAATTCCAAGTGTTGGTGCTGACCTTTAAAGCCCTAAACAGCCTCAGTCCAGTATGCCTGAGGGAGTGTCTCCACCCCCCTTGTTCAGCTCAGACACTGAGGTCCAGTGCTGAGGGCCTTCTGGCGGTTCCCTCACTGCGAGAAGCCAAGTTACAGGGAACCAGGCAGAGGGCCTTCTCGGTAGTGGCGCCCACTCTGTGGAACACCCTCCCATCAGATGCCAAGGAAATAAGTAGCTATCCTATTTTTAAAAGACATCTGAAGGCAGCCCTGTTTAGGGAAGTTTTTAATATTTAATGCTGTTTTGTTGTTAACACTCAATTGGGAGCCGCCCAGAGTGACTGGGGAAACTCAGCCAGATGGGTGGGGTATAAATAATAAACTATTATTATTATTATTATTCTCCTCATCAATACAAAGAAGCCTCTCTTTTTTCTGATCTTTCATATTTGCCAGGAAACCCATGTTTGCTACAATATGTTGTGGAGATCTGTAGAAGACTAACCAATGTGGATACTGTTGCTGGTTGTATGTACCATATTTTTCGCTCTATAAGACACACCAGACCACAAGACGCACCTAGTTTTTGGAGGAGGAAAACAAGAAAAAAATATTCTGAATCCCAGAAGCCAGAACAGCAAGAAGGGATCGCTGTGCAGAGAAAGCAGCGATCCCTCTTGCTGTTCTGGCTTCTGGGACAGCTGCGCAGCCTGCATTCGCTCCATAAGACGCACACACATTTCCCCTTACTTTTTAGGAGGGAAAAAGTGAGTCTTATAGAGCAAAAAATACGGTATATATAAAATGTATGTATGTATAAAATACTATGCTACATTAAAATGTTTAAACATTTGATTTGTCCTTGAATCTTCTCACCATACTTGCCATCCTCCTCCCCTGCCACTCCAGGGTGGCACACCACACACTGCTGGAGGGCCACTGCCCTAGCCTCCTTCTAGTCTGGGTGGTGGACAGAGAGGGGTGGGCGAGCGTAACTGCCCCTCCCACTTTTGCCTCTGGCCCCACCCACCATGGGCGTCCTGCCCTCGGGATGTTGCGCAAGAGGTGATGCAGTCCTCAGGCTGCAAAATGGGTCCCAACCCTTGGAGCCTCCTTGCCTCTGACAGTGTTGTTTTCTCTGCTTGCTGGTTGGCATTATTATTGTGGTAAGATATTAAAATGGGACACGGGTGGTGCTGTGGGTTAAACCACAGAGCCTAGGACTTGCCGATCAGAAGGTCGGCGGTTCGAATCCCCGCGACGGGGTGAGCTCCCGTTGCTCGGTCCCTGCTCCTGCCAACCTAGCAGTTCGAAAGCACGTCAAACTGCAAGTAGATAAATAGGTACCACTCCGGCGGGAAGGTAAACAGCATTTCCGTGCGCTGCTCTGGTTTGCCAGAAGCGGCTTAGTCATGCTGGCCACATGACCCGGAAGCTGTACGCCGGCTCCCTTGGCCAATAAAGCGAGATGAGCGCCGCAACCCCAGAGTCGGCCATGACTGGACCTAATGGTCAGGGGTCCCTTTACCTTTACCTTTATTAAAACGGTGAATAGTAAAACAAATGGCATTGAAAAGACAGCATATATATATATATATATATATATATATATATATATATATATATCTCACAACTGCAACCAGCTGAAGTAAAACACATCACTGCAATATACCAACCAACCAACCAAATGCATTGCATCTTTGTGGGCTACAGTCTCTTGAGGTCTGCAGGGCTAGTTGTGTGACAGACAGTTCTATTCCCCAATAATTCTCCACCACTTCTCTACACCCACCCCCGCATATCACCCTCCACAAGTACCTGCTGCCCAGAGTGGTTTTC